GAAAGAACGGGTCTATGTGGTCAATGTGTAGAGTATAAAAAGTATCCTGCAGGACACAGTGCATAATGAAAAAAAAAATTTTTGACGGTGTTTTTAGTTTAAAACGCCAATTTGCAGTGTATTTTCGTATGCTATTTATGGTTGTATTTTAGCTTTCCTGGTCTTATTTTATAGAATGGAAGATATATTACAGAAATTGATTTGATTTTGATTGGTTTCACAATGAAAAGCACCTTGAAATTGAGCTCAAAGTAGCAGAAATGTTCGATTTTTGCCGAAGTTCAAATCATGCCATGCATCCAATACATGTCAGCTGGTGAGTCTGATATTCTTTCGCAAGTGCGCTGATATTATTTATACCATTTCTATATTAATGCAGTAGTCTGCATAACAGTAAATCTTCTATTTTTTGTGAAAATAAAAATTCGAAGTGGAAAGCAAAAGAAATGTAAGAGGGGCCTGGGGACATGACTAATGAAGAAAGAAAATGTTATTTTAGTGCCAGGAATGTCTGTCTTGTTTATTCTGGACCCTATTTGGCAATTGGCGTCTTTTGGAATTTGTGTGAAATTGGCAAAATTGTCAAGTGGGTTTTCGATACGTGGATGGGTAAAAATACTCACGTAGGCTGGTAGTACGTATAATATATAAGGGGAAGTATGGGAAGCACCAACAGCCGACCTGCCTCTCTCTGCTCCCTATCTTCGACTGACCCACACATCAAATTTCATACTTTTGGTGTCATTATGATTGGGATAAGATTCTCTATCTTTTCATAAGAATTTTTTTTCCGAAAAATTTTCGACCCTGAGAAAAAGTTTAGGAGAGGGCCTCTCGACCCTGAAAGGGTTAAGGACGTGTGCAAAGTGGAATGAGTTGAAAACTTTTGTTGAAAAATATCACCCTGACCAAGCTGATACAAGCCATATCTGCAACATATTCGGTGACAATACCTTGTCCCATTTTAGGCAAATCTTAGTGATGCCAGAAACAGAACTCTCTGGACGGATTTTTAATGCGACAGGAGTCCAGTGCCAGTAAAAGGCAAAGAAGGGAAGTAACCCCAGAGATAGCTTTGATACCTGAAGTCTTTATGGAGGGGAATTCCCCTTCCAAACAATAACCTCATCTCCCTCTCCACTCCTTGCCTTCTTCAATACACCAACAAGAGTCTTCAGTAAAGGTATGTACAGTGGACCCTCAACCAATGGCTTTAATCCGTTTCAGAGAGCTAGCCTTTAGTCGAATTAGCCGTTAGTCGAATTAATTTTCCCCATGAGAAATAATGGAAATCCAATTAATCTGTTTCAGACAGCCAAAAGTGTTAACAAAAAATATTTTTTTAAAGATTAAATATAAATATACATACAGGAGACAATAACAAATAAATATAAAGCACTAATAAAATTGATAAATGAACATTTAACATCACAGTTATATTTATTGACTTGTTGGTGTGTGATAGACACATAGGAGGGAATAGGAAGGGAAGTTTATTATGCTTTAATATGATGCTAATATCATCCCTACTGCTTATTTATCTATCACGATTCATCTACTATGACATTATAAACAATATTAATAACATAGAAACATGATATATACTCTAGAATGAATAAAATATGTCATAATGTATGAGAGGAGTAAATGGTGTAAGTGTTGTTGTTGAGTTAAAGGGCCGCCACTGAGAGTACCCGTGTTGGAGGTGGAGGCTTTTGCCACCAACACTATCACACTTAAAGAATATATGTAATTTATAAATAAGAAATATTTACATTTTAATTTATAAATAAGTAAGTTTATTCAGGTATACACAAATACAGTTACATAGATTATCATACAGAGCAGCATGTGTAAAGTACCTAGGATAACCCAAAAAAAATCAGAGTGATTTACTTATTTCCATTGGGGTCCTTTTATATTTACACTTAATGTATTTACTTTTATGCTTACACTTTTATATTTACACTTACCTTGGAGGAGATGTTAGTTTAACCCTTTGGCTGCCGCAAGCCCCTTTCTGAAACTCTCATTCAATGTCGCAAAATTTTTGGAGAAAAAAAAGTTATTTTTTCTTATGAAATGATAGAGAATCTTTTCCCGATGGTAATGACAGCAAAAGTATGAAATTTGGTCGAAAACTCGCTGAATTACGCTTCTGTGAAGTTAGCAGTCTCGGTGACATATATGCATTGGCGATTTCGCCGAATTTGAGGCCTGTGTTTGGCCAATTCCGTTGTTCCAGTTGACCAAACTCATAGCTATTTCTTTAGAACTCCATTTTTTCTATCAGTTGAGTACAAGAAACTGCCCATTTACCGATTTGAACTACCCAATAAAGTGGTCAGAAATTGGCAATTTGGCCAATTTCATGCAAATTAAAAAAAATGCCAATTTCAAAATAGGGTCCAGAATTAGCAATGTAGACATTCTTGGCACTAAAATAACATATCCTCTATTCATTAGTGATGTCTCTGGGCCCCTCTTATATTACTATTGCTTTCTATTTTTATTTTTTATTCATACAAAAAATACAAAATTTACTGTTATGCAGACTAATACATTATTGTGAAAATGGTAAAAATAATATCAGTGTACTAGTGAAAGAATATTAGACTCCCAAGTTGACATGTATTGGACGTGTGGTGTGATTTGCTTACTCCTGAACATTGGTAAAAATCGAACATTTCCTCTACTTTGAGCTCGATTTCAAGGTCGTTTTCATTGTGAAACTAATCAAAATAATCTCTATTTCTGTAATATGTTTTCTATTTTATCACATGAGACCATGAAAACGAGAATACAACAATAAATACTATATGAAAATACACGTCAAAGTCGGCATTTTAATCCCAAAAAATGTGTCAGTTTTTTTTCTCATTATGCACTGCGTGCTGCAGGATTTTTTTTGTGGTGCACACTGACCACACAAACCCATTCTCTCACATGTGGGCCTACCAGCTTTCTCCTGCTTGATTTGAAGCCGCTAGAATTTACGAGTATTAATATGTCCGAAACAGTGGCACGTAAGATGTATATATACGACCAAAACAGTCAAAGGGTTAATTAGTTTGATGGAGGAGATACTGGCAGAGGTTTAGGAAGACAGCAGGCCAGCATATGTTGAGCGGATATACACACATCCAACAACATTGGAGAGTTACTTTCTTGTCGTTTTTCTATTGCTTACTCGCTTAACTTAGTTGCTACACTGTTAATTCTACACTTTATCGCTGGCTGGCACTATAGCCTTTATCAATACCTGCTGGTTTAGTATTGTACATATTGTAGAATCACTGAATCACTGCAGAAGGCACATTATCCCCTCTCTCTTCCTCCTCCACTTTGGTACTTTGCTGTGAGTTTCTTCTTGAATTTTATTGTTTCTTTCCTTCTTTATCACAGGGCTGGCACTAGAAACTTTGACCCCATGGTGTCTTATTTAGCAGTTACAAGCCCTAAAAACAAAGGAATAATGCAAAATATATCACATGTATGCATGGAATCGACCACAACGTGTTGTAAACAATGGGACACTGGCTGTATACGGAGTCATGTAGTGGTTGGGCTTGCTCAGGACAAAAGCCTTTAGACGAGTTTTTCGGCATTGGTAGAGCCAATATTTTGATGCCAAAGAGAGCCGTTAGTCGATTTTGGCGTTAGACGAAGCCATCGTTAGTTGAGTGTCTACTCTAATGTTCACTTATCATTAAAATTAGTCAAATATATTTATTTCTCTTTGTTTTCTGTATGTAAGACTATAGCTATTCTTTAAAAAATTATTTTTTGTTACTATTTTTGGGTGTCTGGGATTAATTGTACTTACATTATTTCTTATGGGAAATATTACTTTGGTTTTAGTATGTTTCAGATTTAGACTGACCTTCTGGAATGGATTAAGTACGAAATCCGGGGTTCCACTGTATGTGTATTATTATCTTTGGTATGGTTTTAATGTCACTTTTGCACTATTTATACCATTTCTGGTATATTTTTAAATGCTTATACAGTAGTATACTGTATATTGTAATAAACAGAACAGAGGAAATGTGCTCTAGTAGACATTATTTAGGTATGTATACTGGTGAGTCTTAAGTTCGAGTCATTGGTAAACGAGTATGTTGCTAAGTGAGGAGAGGCTTTACTCAGATGACGTACGTCAGTTGTCCAATATGCACCCAACTGGCCAGTCTAGTATGCATTTAGGAATACACTAACATTATTTATACGGTTATTACAATATTGCTGTAGTCTGCATAACAGTAAATCTTCTGTTATTTGTTTGAATGAAAATTCAAAATGAAAAGCAAGTCTAATATAAGAGGGGCCTGGAGATGTGACTAAGGAGCAGAGAAAATATTTATTAAGTGCAAGGATCCTGGATCCTATTTTTAAATTGGCAATTGTTGAATTTTTTATGAAATTGGCCATATTACCAATTTCTGATCACTATTGGATAGTTGAAATAGGTAAATGGGCAGTTTCTTATACTTAATTGATAGAATAGAAGGAATACTAGTGAAATATCTATGAGTTTGGCAGACTAGAATACTGGAATTGGACAAAAATAGAGTGCAAATTGGACAAAATAGCTGATGCATAAATATCGCCAAGGTTGCTAAGTCTGTGAAAATATAATTTTGTAAGTTTTCCATCAAGTTTTGTACTTTTGGTTTCATTACCTTTGTAAAAAGATTTTCTGTTGTTTCATAAGATAAAATATTTTTTTTTTTTTTTTTAAATTCTCCTACTTGGGGAGCAAGATTGTGAGCAGGGGTCTTAATACTGAAAGCGTTAATAGTGTTGCAAATTCATGCAAAGATTTGTTCTTTCTTTGTGAATATCTTTTAATTTACACCAAACCACATACAGTTTCAGCATGATGTCCATGAGAATACTCGAGTTTGTGTAAAGTTCACTTCTTGGCAGTACATGGTGCTGATGAAAAAAAAAATAATTGAAATGTGTACTAATATTTTAATAAATTTTGTTTTGAACAGAATTGTCATACGAGGTATCTTCCTTGAAAAGAAGAGCCACAGATGGAATGAGTGAAGCTGATGTTAAACTTAAGGAGATGGACCGTTTGTTAAAAGCGGTGATGCAGGAGAAGGAAAACTCTAGTAGAGTAAGTATGATGTATTCTTTATTCCTTCAGTTATTTTTTAAGCATATTATATACACCTACCATCCGACTTACGACCTGCTCGACATACGACCACTAGACTTACGACCGTGTTTTTTATGCCAAATTTCTGGGAAATAAACAACTATTTGTGTTGTACACAGTGTTTATCCTAAACCTTACAGTATAAAATACAGTACATACTAACAGCATAAAAAGTAAAGTAAAATATGAAATACCAAAATAAAACAATAAAATAGCCATTACAAAAATGTGATGTTGATATTCAGTAGTAAAGTTCGACTTATGTCCATTTTGACTTGCGACCGGTTGGTCGGAACCAAGCTTGGTTGTAAGTCGGATAGTAGGTGTATTTAAAGAATTACTTCATTCTGATTCCTTTGGTCTGAAAGTTCTTGTGTATGTTATCTTGCCTATTGAATACTGTACTCCATTTCTGACTTTTTTTTTTTTTTACCCTCTCAACTTTTAGCTTGCACTTATAGCCTTTGGCAAGACATTGTGAATGATAGTGAAAGTGTTTCTCTTTTGGGTCACCCTACCTCAGTGGGAGATGACCAGTCTGTTAAAAAAAAAAAAATACCAGCAAGGAGGAAGTATTGGAAGGTGTACAAGATTTTGAAAGAAAATGACTTTAACACCCAGAGTATGAACATTCAAATTCTCTGCATAATATTCACACTACACATTGTCTCCAAACATGACATTTTCACTGCCTTTGGCCTCTTCACTGCAACATTAAAGCCCATGCTGCAAACCCATGTAATTGTGTTGGTACCACTAAATTCTGTTACCTTTTTGCCTCCATGGATCAAGTTTTTTATTTCTACAGAGGCCTCAGTGCATCACCCATTTATATCCCCTTGTTTATTTTATGGTTCCTCTCATTTTTCTTGAACTCTTCTGCTAACAAGTCCGTTCCTAGATACTCCCTCCAATTTGATATGAAATCTTTCATTGCCTAGGCGCTTCATTACTTGTATCACCTTGCCCTTTCACATGTTCACTTTTAATTTCCTTCTTTTACACAGACAGATTTAATCACCAAATTTTGCAGCTTCTCTTCAGAATCTTCCAAAAGAGCTATGTCATTGGCAGAGAATAATTGTATTGAATTCTTCATCTTTTAATCCCATACTTCTCCTAGGTACCCAGGCATTTGCTTTTACAGTCCCATCTCTGAATATATTAACCCTCTAATTGTCTAAACGTAGATCTACGTTTAATTGTGTAGCGCTCCGCCCTTGATTTTCTCCATAAGAAAGAGTGTAAAAAAAAGAAAGTAGATCTATGTTCGGAGCGCTACATGAGCAAACGTAGATCTACGTTTGGACAGTTTAAGGGTTAAACAACCATTGTGATATCACACATTTTATAAAATCTTTACAGGAAATAGCAGATTTACAAGAAAAATTAACATTACAAACAAAGGAATTACAAGATGCACTAACTCAGAGAAAGTTGGCAATGTCAGAATACAGCGAAGTTTCAGATAAGTAAGTAAAGTTCATTTATCTATATATGGGATACTTCAGAATGAGTTGTGTTGCCATTGTTTCAGCTTATGAACAAGTCATTTATTCCCTGAACCTATTCTCCTATAGAAAATAGTAGTACAGTAGGGCCCCGCTTTACGGCATTTCACTTTACGGCATTCCGCTAATACGGTCATTTCAAATTATGACCAAAACTCGATATACGGCTCCCCCCACCTGACTTTCTAATACGGTCACCGCGCCCCACCCTGTTTTTAAAAGTTATTACATTCTCTGTGAGCTCAAAATAACACTAATAACTCTCCATTTAATCTGGAAACTCCAAAATTTCAAGTTTTATAAATTATTCATCATTATTTTAATTATATACTCTGTAATTATACTATGTTATACCTGTACTAAATAAACTTATACACATGTGCTAGCAATGCAGGTACAATAAAATCAGTAAGAGTGTCTTATGTCTCCAGACGTCATATTAGTAATGATAATAATAATCATCGAGTCTCATTTAAATGTCATATATCACGTTAATATACACATTTTCATTAATCCATCTATGATATTTTTTCAAAATTTATTTATTTATTTTTATTTAGTAATTAAGCATACAAACAGAGGTACAAAAAATACAGGTAAGAGCAGCATGCCAAAGCCACTTATATGCATAGCATTACGGGCTGGCTTAAAATTAACTTAAGATTAACTAAGCAATGATGAAATCAGTGATAAAACATTATTGTAAACAGATAACTATAAAGCACAAATGAGTATTACAAAGACAGGTCATATGGTTGCTTGCATTGCTGTACATTCAGTCAAATGGAGTATTCTGTTAGGTAGTGTATTTAAAAAAATAATAAAGATAGATTGGGTCCTAGGTTTAACATTTGTGTGATATAATTGTGAGTAACATATAGGATATACAATTTATAAGGTTCAGTTATTAAGTATTTATTTGGTTTTGAGTGAGTAAGTGATCTTTGAGAAGAGACTTGAATTTATAAACAGGTAGTGTTTCTTTTATATTTACAGGTAATGAATTCCAGATTTTAGGGCCTTTTATGTGCATTGAGTTTTCACATAGCGTGAGATGGACACGAGGAACATCAAAGAGTGATCTGTGCCTTGTGTTATGGTCATGTGTTCTGTTGAGGTTGGCATAACATATAAATAAGATAAATACACCCCACAGTAGAATAAATAAACATAAATGTGAGAATCAATGTGGGAATCAAATTCAAAAAGGGAATTGACACAGTTACTTTTTGCTGATGATACTGTGCTTATGGGAGATTCTAAAGAAAAATTGCAAAGGTTAGTGGATGAGTTTGGGAATGTGTGTAAAGGTAGAAAGTTGAAAGTGAACATAGAAAAGAGTAAGGTGATGAGGGTGTCAAATGATTTAGATAAAGAAAAATTGGATATCAAATTGGGGAGGAGGAGTATGGAAGAAGTGAATGTTTTCAGATACTTGGGAGTTGACGTGTCGGCGGATGGATTTATGAAGGATGAGGTTAATCATAGAATTGATGAGGGAAAAAAGGTGAGTGGTGCGTTGAGGTATATGTGGAGTCAAAAAACGTTATCTATGGAGGCAAAGAAGGGAATGTATGAAAGTATAGTAGTACCAACACACTTATATGGGTGTGAAGCTTGGGTGGTAAATGCAGCAGCGAGGAGACGGTTGGAGGCAGTGGAGATGTCCTGTTTAAGGGCAATGTGTGGTGTAAATATTATGCAGAAAATTCGGAGTGTGGAAATTAGGAGGTGTGGAGTTAATAAAAGTATTAGTCAGAGGGCAGAAGAGGGGTTGTTGAGGTGGTTTGGTCATTTAGAGAGAATGGATCAAAGTAGAATGACATGGAAAGCATATAAATCTATAGGGGAAGGAAGGCGGGGTAGGGGTCGTCCTCGAAAGGGTTGGAGAGAGGGGGGTAAAGGAGGTTTTGTGGGTAAGGGGCTTGGACTTCCAGCAAGCGTGCGTGAGCGTGTTAGATAGGAGTGAATGGAGACGAATGGTACTTGGGACCTGACGATCTGTTGGAGTGTGAGCAGGGTAATATTTAGTGAAGGGATTCAGGGAAACCGGTTATTTTCATATAGTCGGACTTGAGTCCTGGAAATGGGAAGTACAATGCCTGCACTTTAAAGGAGGGGTTTGGGATATTGGCAGTTTGGAGGGATATGTTGTGTATCTTTATATGTGTATGCTTCTAGACTGTTGTATTCTGAGCACCTCTGCAAAAACAGTGATAATGTGCGAGTGTGGTGAAAGTGTTGAATGATGATGAAAGTATTTTCTTTTTGGGGATTTTCTTTCTTTTTTGGGTCACCCTGCCTCGGTGGGAGACGGCCGACTTGTTGAAAAAAAAAATGTGAGATGTGGTAGCAGACGACTTGCACAAGTGACGCCATATTAGAAATAATAATAATCACCGAGTCTCATTAAATGTCGTATAATACGTTAATATACACATTTTCATGAATCCATCCATGATATTTTTTTTCAAAATTATATAATAAACACGATACATAACATAAAAAGATGATAAATACACCCCACAATAGAATACATAAACATAAATATGAAATGTGGTAGCCAGATAACTTGTACAAGTGACGGCAAGAATAACTTTTTCTCTAATCTAACATAAGAGAAAATGTGTTACGGGGGAACTGTAGAAAATTATTCCTTTCGTATGTATGTAAGTAAGTTTATTCAGGTATACACAAATACAGTTACATAGATTATCATACATAATAACATATGTGTAGAGAACCTAGGATAACCCAAAAAAGTCCGAGTGACTTAATTTCCATTGCCTTCACTCAGAGCATCATTTCTTCTCAAAATGATGCTACATGAGAATGGGAGTGTTCTTCTTTATTTATTCTACCATATCAATGTAGAGAGAACCTGTACACAATGTAACTTGTACATAAACCAGACGTGTACACTTTGTTTGTTTACAAAACTTACGTTCGCCTGGTTTGTTTACATAACTCTGCGCCTGTCCTCTCTCATGCACTCATTCTTTCTCTCTCTCATTTATTCGTTTTATCTCATTTACTTACTCCTGACCCTACATTAAGACTACAAATATTTTAAGGCAAGTAATGAGTGAACTGTATATACATTTTATCGCTCTGGGATGCTTAAATATCATAGAATAGTATGTGTGGGTGGGGTGGCCTGGTATGGTAGCCCGGCTGACAACCATACATACCACACTTGATTTCTTGCAATAAATACTACTTGTCTCACCCTAGATTAAGACTATAAATATTTTAAGGTAAGTAATGAGTGTACTATGTGTGTATTGTATTTTTTTATTGTTTTTTGATGCCTGGTTCTATTGCTAACTTAATATATGTTAGTGTAAACTTGTTATCTAGTGTTTGTATGCATTTAAAAGAAAAAAAAGGGTGTTCCACTTTACGGCGGTAGCCTGGAACCTAACCTGCCGTATAAGTGGGGCCCTACTGTACTTGTAAAAGTATAATTGTGCCAAATGTGTTTGTATATTAGATCATTATTCATAAAACAATTATTTTCTTGATATTATGTCTGTTGGACCTTGCTCTTAAGTGCAGATCATTGTAATTCAGGCATTACTAAGTCAAGAACCTCTACAATTAAGATTTTTTCATTAATGGATAATTTAAGAATAAATTTTCTTGTTAACGTGCTTTAATATTTTATATTTCTTTTTAGATTAACGGAATTGAGAAATCAGAAGCAAAAATTATCACGACAAGTTCGAGACAAAGAGGAAGAACTAGAAACAGCAATGCAAAAAATTGACACTCTGAGACAAGATCTACGCAGAGCAGAAAAACTTAGACGTGAATTGGAGGTGTGTAATAATACACTGTACAGTGGACCCTCAGTAAACACCTTTAATCCATTCCAGAGACCTAGGCTTTAACCGATTTAGCTTTTCACCCAATTAATTTTCCCCATAAGAAATAATGAGAATCCAATTAATCCGTTCTAGACACCCAAAAGAATTAAACAAAATAATTTCCCTACACAGAAAACAATGATAAATGCACAATAAACATTACTGAAATGACACTTACCTTTATTGTGGAATTGTTGATGAGTGCTGAGACAGTAGGAGGGCAGATGATGCAGGTGTTCTATTGTTTGGAAGCGGAATCCCCTTCCATAAAGACTTCAGGTACCAAGTCCTTTTCTGGGGTTACCTCTCCTTTTTGTTTTTTAATGCCACTAGGATCAGCTTGAGAGTTACTGGACCCCTGTCGTGCAAAATATGTCCAGAGAGCTCTGTTTCTCGTGTCCCTTTAAGATTTCTCTAAAATGGGTCACAAGAGTGTCATTGTACAAATTGCCAATACGGTTTGCAACAGCTGTGTCAGGATAATATTGATCCATAAATGCTTGCAACTTTGTACACATTGTACACATTTCCTTATTCTTTGACGAAGGCAGCTTCCTCCATCTCTCTTCCTCCTCCTCTGAAGGAAATCCCTGAGCTTTGGTCTGTTGTTGTTGCACCTGAAGCTCTTGCAACTCTGTAGTGATTATCTCTTCATCGTCATCCTCCACCAACGCTTCCACATCCTCACCACTAACCTCCAACCCCATGGACTTCCCCAATGCCACAATAGATTCCACAACTGGCATAGGCTCCTTAGAGTCAGCCCCAAACCCTTCAAAATCCCTCTCTTGTACACATTGTGGCCACAGTTTTCTCCAAGCAGAGTTCAAAGTCCTGGAAGTCACTCCCTCTCAAGCCTTACCTATAAGGTTTATGGAACTGAGGATACTGAAGTGATCTCTCCAGAACTTTCTTTGGGTCAATTCATTGTCTGAGGTCACTTCAAAGCACTTTTGAAACACTGCTTTGTTGTACAGTTTTTTGAAATTTGAAATGACCTGCTGGTCCATGGGCTGGAGGAGAGGAGTGGTATTAGGAGGCAAGAGTTTCACTTTGATGAAGCTCAACTCCCCTGCAATTTGCTCTTGCAAGTCGTTAGGATAAGCAGGAGCATTGTCCATTACCAGGAGGCACTTGAGGTCCAATTTATTTTCCAGGAGGTACTGTTTCACAATGGGCCCAAACACGCCATAGAACCAGTCAGTAAACATGCCTTACTGTTTGCTCTCCACATCACACACAGTTTAGTCTTGCCGATATTGTTTTTCTTGAACACACTAGGAGTTTGAGTGATACACAAGTAAAGGCTTCACTTTGCAATCCCCACTAGCATTACTACACAACATTAGAGTTAGCCTGTCTTTCATAGGCTTGTGTCCTGGGAGTGCCTTTTCCTCCTGAGTAGTGTAGGTCCTGTTTGGCATTTTCTTCCAAAACAGGCCTGTTTCATCACAAACACTTGTTGGGGTTTTAATTTTTCAGTGTCTATGTACTCCTTAAAGTCCTGCACATATTTTTCAGCCGTTTTTTTGTCAGAACTGGCAGCCTCACCATGCCTTATCACACTGTATGCCAATACGATTTTTAAATCTCTGAAACCAACCTTTGCTGGCCTTAAATTCATCAACAGCAACATTATTTGGAGGCATTTTCATAGTTTGTTAGATTATGTATTGGTGGATAAAAGGTTGATGGGTAGGCTCCAGGATGTACATGTTTATAGAGGGGCAACTGATATATCGGATCATTATTTAGTTGTAGCTACAGTTAGAGTAAGAGGTAGATGGGAAAAGAGGAAGGTGGTAACAACAAGTAAGAGGGAGGTGAAAGTGTATAAACTAAGGGAGGAGGAAGTTCGGGTGAGATATAAGCGACTATTGGCAGAAATGTGGGCTAGTGCAAAGATGAGTAGTGGGGGGGACTGAAGAGGGTTGGAATAGTTTTAAAAATGCAGTACTAGAATGTGGGGTAGAAGTTTGTGGTTATAGGAGGGTGGGGGCAGGAGGAAAGAGGAGTGATTGGTGGAATGATGAAGTTAAGGGTGTGATAAAAGAGAAAAAGTTAGTTTATGAGAGGTTTTTACAAAGCAGAAGTGTTATAAGAAGAGCAGAATATATGGAGAGTAAAAGAAAGGTGAAGAGAGTGGTGAGAGAGTGCAAAAGGAGAGCAGATAGAGTGGGAGAGGCACTGTCAAGAAATTTTAATGAAAATAAGAAAAAATTTTGGAGTGAGTTAAACAAGTTAAGAAAGCCTAGGGAAAGTATGGATTTGTCAGTTAAAAACAGAGTAGGGGAGTTAGTAGATGGGGAGAGGGAGGTATTAGGTAGATGGCGAGAATATTTTGAGGAACTTTTAAATGTTGAGGAAGAAAGGGAGGCGGTAATTTCATGCACTGGTCAGGGAGGTATACCATCTTTTAGGAGTGAAGAAGAGCAGAATGGAAGTGTGGGGGAGGTATGTGAGGCATTACGTAGAATGAAAGGGGGTAAAGCAGCTGGAACTGATGGGATCATGACAGAATTGTTAAAAGCAGGGGGGATATAGTGTTGGAGTGGTTGGCACTTTTGTTTAATAAATTTATGAAAGAGGGGAAGGTACCTAGGGATTGGCGAAGAGCATGTATAGTCCCTTTATAGTAAGGGAAAGGGGACAAAAGAGATTGTAAAAATTATAGAGGAATAAGTTTACTGAGTATGCCAGGAAATGTGTACGGTAGGGTTATAATTGAAAGAATTAGAGGTAAGGCAGAATGTAGGATTGCAGATGAGCAAGGAGGTTTCAGAGTGGGTAGGGGATGTGTAGATCAAGTGTTTACATTGAAGCATATATGTGAACAGTATTTAGATAAAGATAGGGAAGTTTTTATTGCATTTATGGATTTAGAAAAGGCATATGATAGAGTGGATAGAGGAGCAATGTGGCAGATGTTGCAAGTATATGGAATAGGTGGTAAGTTAGTAAATACTGTAAAGAGTTTTTTTGAGGATAGTGAGGCTCAGGTTAGGGTGTGTAGAAGAGAGGGAGACTACTTCCCGGTAAAAGTAGGTCTTCGACAGGGATGTGTAATGTCACCATGGTTGTTTAATATATTTATAGATGGGGTTGTAAAAGAAGTAAATGGTAGGGTGTTCGGGAGAGGGGTGGGATTAAATTATGGGGAATCAAAATTCAAAATGGGAATTGACAGTTACTTTTTGCTGATGATACTGTGCTTATGGGAGATTCTAAAGAAAAATTGCAAAGGTTAGTGGATGAGTTTGGGAATGTGTGTAAAGGTAGAAAGTTGAAAGTGAACATAGAAAAGAGTAAGGTGATGAGGATATCAAATGATTTAGATAAAGAAAAATTGGATATCAAATTGGGGAGGAGGAGTATGGAAGAAGTGAATGTTTTCAGATACTTGGGAGTTGACGTGTCAGCAGATGGATTTATGAAGGATGAGGTTAATCATAGAATTGATGAGGGAAAAAAGGTGAGTGGTGCATTGAGGTATATGTGGAGTCAAAAAATGTTATCTATGGAGGCAAAGAAGGGAGTGTATGAAAGTATAGTAGTACCAACACTCTTATATGGGTGTGAAGCTTGGGTGGTAAATGCAGCAGCGAGGAGACGGTGGGAGGCATTGGAGATGTCCTATCTAAGGGCAATGTGTGGTGTAAACATTATACAGAAAATTCGGAGTGTGAAAATTAGGAAAAGGTGTGGAGTTAATAAAAGCATTAGTCAGAGGGCAGAAAGAGGGGTTGTTGAGGTGGTTTGGTCATTTAGAGAGAATGGATCAAAATAGAATGACATGGAAAGCATATAAATCTATAGGGGAAGGAAGGCGAGGTAGGGTCGTCCTCGAAAGGGTTGGAGAGAGGGGGTAAAGGAGGTTTTGTGGGCGAGGGGCTTAGACTTCCAGCAAGCGTGCGTGAGAGTGTTAGATAGGAGTGAATGGAGACGAATGATACTTGGGACCTGATGATCTGTTGGAGTGTGAGCAGTGTAATATTTAGTGAAGGGATTCAGGGAAACCGGTTATTTTCATATAGTCAGACTTGAGTCCTGGAAATGGGAAGTACAATGCCTGCACTTTAAAGGAGGGGTTTGGGATATTGGCAGTTTGGAGGGATATGTTGTGTATCTTTATACGTATATGCTTCTAAACTGTTGTATTCTGAGCACCTCTGCAAAAACAGTGATAATGTGTGAGTGAGGTGAAAGTGTTGAATGATGAAAGTATTTTCTTTTTTGGGGATTTTCTTTCTTTTTTGGGTCACCCTGCCTCGGTGGGAGACGGCCGACTTGCTGAAAAAAAAAATTTGTAATTAGATCCTCATGCAACTGCCTTGCCTTTTCACATATTATTAACTGAGAAATACTATCTCCTGATAATTGTTTCTCGTTTATCTACACCAACAATGGTCTCTCCACATCTTCGAGCATTTGCGATCTCTGTTTTGTAAGCACATATGCAGCTTTTTCAACAACAGCTTCCCTGATTGCCTTTTTGTTGCACAAGATAGTAGTGATGGTTGAATGGGGTTTGTTGTATAACTTTTCCAACTCCGAGATACACACTCCACTCTTGTACTTTTCTATTATCTCCTTTTTTAATTTGATAGTACACTTCACCTTTTTTATCACAGGGTAGGCACTAGAAGCTTTCTTTGGGCTCATGGTGGCTCATTTAGCAGTTACAAGCACTGAAAACAATGGAATAATACAAAATATATCGCATGTATGCATGGAATCATGCTCAGTGGCTTGTTAACAATGGCACACTGGCTGTTACACGGGGTGAGTGGCTGGGCCTGCTCAGGGCGCCGTGCGGACAGGTTCAGGATGAAAGCTCCTAATTGAATTTTTAGGTGTTATCTGAGCCAATTTTTTTATGCCAGAGCAAGGCGTTATCCTGTGCAGGTGTTAACTGAGGGGTCCACTGTATTTAGTTTCCCTTACTCTTAATA